CTCAAAAGAAGCCTTATCCTTTTGCTGAAGACGAAGGAGTGGTTTTCTTCAGTATTAGATTAGCAACAAAGAAGGAGGAGTTGTAGTGGCAGATGGAGAGAATGCTTCAGTTTGGTTAACAGGGATACTGGGAGAGAAGATACTATCTTTTAGTTCTGCAACCTGGTGTAGGACAAGTAATCATAAAGGTAAGATATGGAGAGAAAACTTTAAGCTGAACTTGGGGCCTGAATCTATTGTCGTTCTGTGTCAAATATCATTGCTCTGTGGCAGTGGAAACGGCAATTTCTACTTTTAAGAATTCCCAACAGAACCAACCAGTCATTCTGCTGAAATTCAATCAGAATAATCTGAAGTAGTTGTTAAAAATCCTTGAATTAGACTAAACCAAAGTCATGTGCATCTTTTCAAGCATGGACATGTCCCCACGAACCCAGAACTCTCAATATGAGCAATGCCACGCAATGATACCTGACCTGATAAGTGTAAGCACCACAAATTGAACTAGTAGTTTAATTGTGTTGTGTAAAATCCACAGAGCAGGTACTGTGTTATAGAGTATAGCTTAAATTACGCACAAATTAACATAAATATAGTATTATAGTTTGTGTGGATTTTTCCACCAGAAACCTTTCATGCATGCAGGGTTAATTAATTTAATTATGGCATCAGATTCTGGCCTTCCCTGCTGATATCACAGCAGGATATCGACAAGCTTCCAATTCGCACAGGGTTAAAACAAAAGTAATAAAAATAAGTTGGCATTTACTTTCATCCAAATCACCTATTATTATTCAGTACAATAGGAATGCAGAGCGAGAAAGCATTAAAATGAGGAATAAACATGGTTTAATCACGCACAGCAGCAACTCCGATTTACCAGTTTAGTCTACACACCAAACTGGTAAATGTGTTAACTTTGCGAGTTTCTGATCTGGGTTATTATAAATCATGCTTATGCTTAGTCATGCTTATATGCTATTTATTATATCTGTGCATATTTATAAAAATGGGTCAAATTAAATAGGCAATTTTAGCTTTTCACTTTCAAATATGGTTTGCATCTGGTAGCATAATTAATGGCATAAATTAAATGAATTAGTTTGTTGTTTCAAAACACAAGAGGTTGTCAATCAACCGAAGCATAAATCCAGTCAACGTAAATAAATAATCTGCCTGCTTTACATTTAAATAACTTAATATTGTGGGAGTTGAGGACAGCAAGTATCAAGGGACCAGTGGGCTTTTTCAGGTGGTGCACTTTTCTGCCTGTGTATAAAGAAATCACTGATGTGCAGGTACAAAGGAGACACAGGATGAAGAGAATGAACATTATGCAATCCTGCCCGAGAGTTCAATGACCTCATCGCGCTTTTTATCTCAGCTTAGTTCAGTTTGACATAATGTACGAATAGTTTTGTATTAAAACGAATGTTGTCAGAGTTTTTTACCGTAGACGTCACTTCATATTTGAAATTGCAGAGTCTGGCTTTAATATGGATGATTCAGCTTGTGAAAATGGGCACAAACAATTAAAATAAATTGCACAAGTAAAGATCAAAAAAGCCCAGAGTGAAGCTCACATGTGGGAATGATCAATCAGTGGGAACCAGGTGTTTGAACAGTGGAATAGCTACAGGTGCAGCTGTAAAAAAACCCACTAATGTTGTTCTACTTAATAAAGCAGCTGTTCTAACAATGTGTGAAGGCGACTCAGTAATTTATGTTACGTTTATCAGTCTTATAGTACAATTCAATGCACCGAGCACCTAAGATGGTTTTTCAGCATGGAAGATGACTTACATACAGAGTCCAGCCTCCGGTGTTGGTAACTGTTTATAGTTTTACTATTTCTGTCTAGCGGTTAGTCACTGGTGCACCTGAAAACTCCCAAAAAATAAAAAATAAGATGTAAAGTTGTTTGCATAACATATTTCAGACAGCATCTCTCCATGTCGAGGTGGTGTCACTTTCTATAGTAAAATACTTGCGGGTCACTTGAGACGAGACGGTTCCACATGGTGAGCTATAGGAAAATACAATGACACCTGAGCCTCGGCTCTTCCTTTACAATGGCCTTGGGAGGTGGGCTGGGATCATAGTTCCTCAGCATCTCAGTTTTCTGCGAGCTTGTCTTGAGATGAGGTGCCCTCTCCAAGTCCACTTCATTGTTGCCGTCCAATCCCTTCTTTTATTTTGCACATCCAATTATTCATTCTATTCATCCTAATCAGCAGGCGAGCTTATTATCTCCCCCAGTCACTCCTCTCAACTCCCTAAGAACAGACACGATGGGCGAGGTCACAAAAAGGTTACACAAGAATTTTATTGAATTTGGTGCAAATCACTTTCTGTGCCCTGCCTTTTAAAGGAAAGATGTGTCAAAGATGTTTTTCAGACTTGAAGTGCTTTAAACACAGAACAAATCAATATGCAAAAAAAAAAATGCACTGCTAATAGCCTTCCTCTGAGATACTGTCACGCTGCATGTTGCGTAAGATTTACATTTTAATGCTGACTTGATATAGGAATTAACAAATAATAATAAAGGTGCAATCAAGATGATCCCAATTAAACAAGCAATATGTAGAACCTGTTGCAACTTCCAGACTGACTGACATGATCCTCAGCTAATGAAATATATATATATATGTGTGTGTGTGTCTGTGTGTAAATAACAAACGTAAGGTTGCTATTTTTAGCTGTGCTCTTCTGGGAGTGTAATGCAACATTTGTCGAAAGCAAACATGTAAAAATAGCATATTTGTTTTCCTGACACGGAAGAATTTACCTAATTGGACAATTTAAAGACTGTGCATGATGTAATTGGGCTAGAGATCAAGAGAACTTACACCTGAAAAGAGTGTGAATGAGAGCAGTGCGTAGTGTGAGTGTTAGGCAGACGGTGGGACACCTGGGATTTTACATTGCACATGACTGAACTGTCTAGTCTTCAGGGTCCAAATCATGAAGGCAGACACACAACGGATGTGTCCAGGCGATAAAAGCTGTCTGCACCCAGAGGGACCTCAGTAAACTCCCATGGGTCAAACTTCTTAACCCCCAGGCTCGACATCTAGCTCAGTGGCCAGGTTATCTGCTGCCAAACAGTCATTTTACAGCTCTACTAATTGTGATCCATTTTATCCCACTCTGACATTTCTACACTCGCAAGGTTTAAAATATCAACTTATCATGTGTCTACCTCATCATATTGTTGTAAGCTCAAGTTCTACCATATAATTAAGAATTATTATGCAATACCGGGCACTGTACCAGGAGAAAATCCTCTACCTACTTGTATGCTGCAGCAAGAGAAGAGAATATGAACCTGCAGCACCCTCACAACATGATTAATAACCCTGGAAATTTTACAGAATGGGGCCAAATAAATAGAGCCCGTCTTTATTAATCTCTTTATATAGCATCTGGAATTGCATGTCCATAGAATCAGTGGCACACATACCCTTAGGAGTTTAAATAAACAAGTACTACCCCATCCAGTCCCCTGGCAGAAGCAGAATGCTAAAAGGACAATGGCCTCAAAAGAAACAATGGCAGAATTATACTCATTGACTGTTTATACCACTTTGTAGGATTCCTTATTACTTAATGGCTTATCTAAAGCATCTTCTTGTGCTACTTATATTTTTAGATTTCTTCCTGGAAGTTCTTTTCGGATCACTTAGACAGGTTTCTATGATTTGACAACAGACCTCAAAATTGTATAGAGCAAACTTAAACTTGTCTTTCATGTCAATGTCTTTCATGACGCTGGTAGTGTGTACCAGCGTCCCATTTCCGGAGTCTCGTGGCTACACTGGCGAAATGTTTGTTCACAACCTGGATCAGTCACTAGATGTGGCTGCACCTTCATCAAGCCTGAAAAATTGCAGTTTTGACACACTTGTGCCGATTGTAGAAGCACCAGTTAATATGGCAACATAATGACACTTTCACTGAAAGAGCTTTAAAAAACAAAAAAAACAAAAACAAAACTCAAACCTCAAAATTGGCTTGAGGGTCTTACGATCCGCAAAATTTAAATCAGGTGAGGCTTTTGATTTTAATGGACCTGTTCTCATAACTTTTTGAACACTGCTCATTCAACAGGCATCCTCATTATATTAAAAAAGAACAATTAGGAGCAGTGACTCATACAAGAGTTAATTTGTTCATTAAGTAATAATAAACATCTGGCAGGGTAAGGCCTCCACTGTGAACCTTCTTTATAATTTGCAAGAGAAAAGCAGAGGAAATGCTAGTTGACAGAAGTGGATGTGCTGTGAGGCCAGCTCCTCACTTACCCAGTCGACATCAAAAGACATGAGGGCCCTTGAGTGAGGACCAATTGGATTTTGAGTCGTGAGGTTTAGAGAAAGGAAGATGAATACTACTACTACAGCTTGTACTAGGAAGTACAACAGAAACAATATTGCTACAATACTGAAAGTCTTTGTTTTTTATTTATTCAGCATAGATTTGGGAGTCTACAAACTTAAAAGAAGATGGACTCTAGCAAGACTGACTGCACTGATTAAGACACATGGACATAGAAACTAGTGATAACTTGAAATTTTACAGAAGGTCAGTGTAGTTTTTTTGTGTGTGTTTTTTTTTAAATAAAAACATGTATAATGCTGTAAAAGGTAATGATATGATGTCCTGAAAAAACATTGTCATTCAGATAAATATATGCAAAGAACCAAGTTGTTGTAGGCTTAAATACACATTTCACTGTCATTTTCTGGACAGAAAAGTGGTTATACATGTATCATTTAAAAGCTTTAATAATGAATATCTAATTTCAAATACATAAATAAATAAACAGAAAGATTTTCAGGCATATTCTCCTCTTCTGATTTTTTTCTGCAGGGATTGGATTAAGACACAAGGCTACCAACCATCCACCTAAATGACTCACTGACATGCAACTGAGCCAGTGATCAAGCTGTGAAGGGGCCTTGATCCCACACTGGGACTCCAGGTCTGCCCTTCTACTCTAACCCTGCAGCTGGAGGTGCCGTCAGTAACATGAGCGTGGGAAGAATCAACCGCTACAGCATTGTGTCATCTGAAGAAGAGGGTCTGCGCCTCACTACCATGCATGGTATGAATGGATTTGGCAATGGCAAGATCCACACACGCCGCAAGTGCCGCAACCGCTTTGTGAAAAAGAATGGCCAGTGTAATGTGCAGTTTGCCAATATGGACGACAAGTCGCAGCGCTACATGGCCGACATCTTCACGACGTGTGTTGATATCCGCTGGCGATGGATGCTCGTAGTCTTTACTCTTGTGTTTGTTGTCTCTTGGCTGGCCTTTGGCTTAGCTTTTTGGGTTATAGCTTTGCTGCATGGAGATCTGGACAACCCAGCTGGAGATGACAACTTCACTCCATGCGTTCTACAGGTCAATGGATTTGTGGCTGCCTTTCTATTCTCCATTGAAACGCAGTCTACCATAGGTTATGGCTACCGCTGTGTGACTGAAGAGTGCCCAGTAGCTGTCTTTATGGTGGTCTTTCAGTCTATAGTTGGCTGCATCATTGACTGCTTCATGATTGGCGCCATCATGGCCAAGATGGCAAGGCCTAAGAAGCGAGCACAAACGCTCTTGTTTAGCCACAATGCCGTCATTGCCATGCGGGATGGAAAGCTGTGTCTAATGTGGAGGGTAGGGAATCTGCGCAAGAGCCACATTGTTGAGGCCCATGTCAGAGCACAGCTCATCAAACCTCGGATAACTGACGAGGGGGAATACATCCCTCTAGACCAGATAGACATTAATGTGGGCTTTGACAAAGGCCTGGATAGGATTTTCTTGGTTTCACCTATCACTATTCTACATGAGATAGATGAGGAGAGCCCTCTTTTTGGGATCAGCAAACAGGACTTGGAGACCGCAGACTTTGAGATTGTTGTCATCTTGGAGGGAATGGTTGAAGCAACCGCCATGACCACCCAGGCTCGCAGCTCCTACTTGGCCTCAGAGATTCTTTGGGGACACCGGTTTGAGCCTGTGTTGTTTGAGGAGAAGAACCTGTACAAGGTGGATTACTCTCACTTTCACAAAACTTATGAGGTGCCGTCCACCCCCCGCTGCAGTGCCAAGGACATGGTGGAAAACAAGTACCTAGTCCCCAACTCTAATTCTTTCTGCTATGAAAACGAGCTGGCCTTCCTTAATCGCGATGATGAGGAAGAGGATGTAGGTGGTGGAAGCAGAGCACTGGCAAACCTCAGTCCAGATCGAAATAGCCGACCGGAATTTGAACGCATACAGACCACCAGGGTCCTGGATCAAAGGTCATATCGTAGAGAATCGGAAATATGACCTCTACACTTTGACCTGAGGGTCAAATTTCAATAACTTTATTAAGGGTAAAAATGCAGAACAATGCAAGGTGCCATAGGAAAAGCTGACTACTGTGAAAGAGTGTAAAGGTGACAGGACAACAGTAAAAGGGACTTAATTGGAAGAAATGGGTAAAAGTGGGTGTATGCAGCTTGGCAAATTGTGGTAAAGAATGTCTACAAACAAGGAAAAAGCTAGAGGGATACCTTCTTCCTTTATGGAAACTTGAATCTTTTTTCACACGGTCATTTTGAGTTTAGAGTGTTAACTGATAGAGCATCAAAAAACCTTTATGACAAAACCTTATAATCGAACCTTAGGTGTAAATACATTTATTAGATAAGTTATGTTTTGTGTGCAGTATCAGTTTCCAAAAACACTTTTAAAATTAAAAGTTGCTATTTCAAATTGTTCTTGAGATCAAAGATAATGTTGGAAGGCTTCTCTTAAGCTCTCTTCGAATTGCTGCGATTTGCTGGAATTGCATTCAGTGACACATTGAAAATTTGTGCACCGCAGCATTCAGATGCAATGAGCCATGATCAAACATCTGACCATGAGCCGCTAAGAACAACACAAGTCTACAACTTCATTCGAAACCCAAGCTAGGGACCCAGACAAGAATATAAAGTCAGAAACAGAAATGAAACTGAATGGACTCCCTATTTATAATGACCTAATTCCTCTTACAAGCTAACAAACCACGATTTGGCTGCCTACAGATATGATGGCATTTGCAAATACGGTTCAACTAAGAAGTCAAGTAAAACAAAACTTAATCCCTGATTTTAGACAATCGTGCTACAGGTGGCAATATCAAAGTTTGTACTGATCAAATCAATAAATAAACAACCCTTAAGAATGCACACTGAAGTGCTCTTTTACTTTTTCCACTTATGTGACAAGCAAAGATCAACTAAAACCTTTATGTTATCATTCTTCACTACTTTATCCTGAATTCTATCAAGACAAAACTGGTATAAACTGACTACACTTAATGTTTTTTTAAAAATGGATCTATGCATATTAACCTATCAGGGGACAAGCATCCTATAGAGCTAAGTGTGTGAGATAAAATTATCTAAAGGGATTAATTCAACGAATGCCCAATGCTTAAAAAAACAAACTGAAATTAAAAAGGTATGGTGTCAATTTCCAAAGGTAACTGCTACTGAAGTTTATTTCACCAGAGTTAAATTAAATTTACAGTAAACTGACTGTCAAAAATGGATAAAGGAAGACTGCTTGATAGATTTATTTTGTCTGAGAGTGGGCCTATGATTAGGTTAAATCACAAATCTAAGATTTAGTTGTTTGTATCCTAAATGAATGAGCACCATAAAGTCTCCAGTATGGTTGCTTCGCTCACTGCTGCAACCTCGTCTCACAGTCTCTTGTATTTAAACCCGCCAGTACGGCGCAGGAAGCTGCTGCATTATTCTCTTGAATGATACAATATCACCACATAAGTGCTGATATAGGAGGAGAAGAAGTCAAAACCAGAAGCCAAGACTTTGTT